TCTTGTTTATTTATTAATTTACTTTTATCTTTTTTAAATTTATTAATCTTCGGTCATTCCGGGAATTTCGGGAATTCCGGGAGTTACGAGTATTCTGTTTCCGGTTCCGAATTCCGGCATTCCATATTTTCCAAACTACCGTTTGACTGCAACAAACTGCTACCTAAAGATCGTATTGGCCACGGGTCATTTGGCGATGTTTATTTACACTACCGACTACTAGGTGCCAGGATCGACACCTCCAGAGACGGTTGTCATGAAAAAAAAAATGTTAAATGCCCTGGATCCGGAGGAAAAAAAACTTTTCGTGAAAGAAGTGGCTCTATTAAATGTCCTTGACCATCGCAATGTTGTCAAATTCATGAAAGTGTCCCATCAGCCGCCAGAAATTCTGTTGGAGTACGTTTACTACTTAATATCTTCGGGCAAGACGTAAGGGTGAGCGCACTCTCCGAATTCCTTTAATGAGCACAACTGCACTGAATTTCAAGAAGTTGTCAATCATGCGGATACGGAGATCATAGATGGCCTGGCTTACCTTTACAACCAAGGGATAGCCCACACAGACCTGAAAACGGCGAACATTCTAGTAAGTTATCAGTATTACATTTCCTTATCAACAGACTCAGAAGAATTTGAGCAGTTGTATCGTGAAAGGCCGATTGCTTGTAAACTAACTGATTTTGGTGAAATTCGGTCTTTTTTAATCCAAACACAGGTGGTCTTGTCATCTAAGACCACCACCGTTGATCGGGGGACGGTGGTCTATACGAGAGCCAAAGATAAGCTCCTACACAAGGCATCTGTTGCCGATCTCACGCTACAAAGACAAAACTCCCTTTAACCTGTGATAGCCAAATGCACATTCATATCAATTCTAAAAGAAATGTACACGGGCTGTGCCGCTCCCTTTTCTTTTTGTCTGACAAGGGTGGTAACATACTGCACGATACATGCCTACTGCAATATCACCTAGCAGATGACAATGATGGTGAAGATCTGGTGTTTGATGTGGCACCGCGTGGTAATCGTAAATATGGAAAAAAAAAACCATTCTACCCGACCCAGAAAAGTACGTTAGATGCGATGAAAGCTGAACTTTCTGAAAACGCCCCCTCTGTTGCCTGTAGGAAGGTTTCAAGTGCATCTGGTGGAATGCTTGGTGCTCAGCAGCCGGGACAACTGATGATCCGTTTTGACACAAATGCCACCTGCAAAAATGATATACTCTGAAGCTTCTCAAAGGAGTCATATGTACAACTATTTCATTCACACAAAACTATGCCCAATGAATAAAGTAGTTGAGTTGTGTTTTTGTTTTTTAACTATGTTCTTTAATCTGGCTTAGTTTTTTAATTCTTTATGAGATTTCAAATTCGACACTTGAGTCAAGATGTCTGAAAACTCAAAAAATGTAAAACATTACATATTAGTATCACTATCCTAAATAAACTAAGAGCAAAGTGCCAGTACAGCTCGAGCCACGCTTATTTTGTGCGGTAGAAAGGCAAAGTTAACATGTAATTAAATGCACTAAGAAGACAAAAATGGATGTTTTTTGAGTAGTGCACTTAAATGTGTAGGTTTTTCTAACGGGCAACCAAGGATTCATCAGGGGAACCAAATTCACGGGTTTGGTCGGACGGCTTTTGAAATTGGGACAACCTGAATTTTTTTCTAGTTTCGAGCACTGTAAAAAGATTTGTTATCAAGGAAAACCCTGGATCACACAGTTTGCAGAAGAGTATTCTTTCTAAAGGAGTTAACAGTGAGCGTCTTAATGCAAGAGATTCTTACTTAATGTTGATATTTTACAACGAATAAAGTTAAATTTTTGTTTATGATTCCTTGATTTGTAGCTCGAACCATTGTTTTTCAAATCAGGAAATATTCTCTTTATTCAGTGTATGCTAGTCAAGACAACGTAAATTCATCAAAAAAAACACCGGTTTAAATGGTTAGCGCTCATACAGAAGTTGAATTTTAAAGCAATTATGAATTTTTAATTCAATTATCAAGCAATTTAGTGTTTCATTTCAATGATGACGAAGCGCCATCGTTGCCAGCGGTCTCTCGGAACTGACTTTGCCCTGACGCCATTTTTGTTCCCATAGCCTTTATTGCTACTCTTATCGGACCAAACCTTGGTATGAGAAACGAAGGGTTCTGGGGTCATGGGATTTTTTAATTAATTGGAATTTTTTAATCGGCTGTTTACGACAAAGAATTCTTCAACGGAAGTCAAAAACGCAACAACTCTCTCATATATTCTTTTGAAACATTTATCACCGCATACATGAAGACTGGAAGAGCCCAAAGAGAAACGAAAAGGGCTGTGCTGGCCCCAGATTACCCACCAACACGGTCAACCGTTTACTAGTTTTTAGTTTCCGTGAAAACAGAATGTCGGCTCAGAAGAAAGTAAAAGCAAGGAGAAATCACTTTACAACTTGAACTAATGCGGAAAACTTTAATCCCTGTAAAGAAGCTGAAATTTGATGATTTCCCCCTGGGTCTTAGGTCTTAGGTCTTAGGTCCAAGCTTTCCTGACACACCCTTCGTGTGCTCAACTTTTAAGAATTTCCACGCGGAACGTGACATCTTACAGGAGAAAATATTCCCTCAGCTAAACTAATCACAACTCACGACAGCAGCTAGAGACCCGCAGCCAATAACCATCACTAAAGGAAAGCTGACCCAGGGCTGTGGTCTAGCAGCGCTTGCTTGCCCCTGGCGCCTTACTTTTGCTCTTGGCGACTCAGGAATCTAAGTTTTTTCATAAAAAGCATATGCTGGGCACCTGGATTTCATAGTTTATAGTTTCAGAGCACTGGGATCCCTTCATTTTTTCTTAGAGCAATTAATCTTCACAACCCGGTTTTACAACATTTGAATGAAAAGCAACTCTTCATTTTACTTGTAATCTTTCCCACTCAAGTTGTTGAACTACTTTCATCCTGACATAATGGGACCATTATTTTTTATTGATCCTTTGCAATGACATTTCTAGAAATCACATAATTCGCGTATTGAATCTGGGTCCAAAAATACTTGATCCTAGCCAATAAATTCACTGAGAGTTTTATGGACAATTTTATATGTATTTTATCAACAGGTGGAAGATGTGCGAGTCCAGTTTTCTTATGCTGAGCCAAGTGGGAAGGCAGGCTCAGGTCTGGGAGATCCAATGAAGGTATCATTCTCTTACTCCTCTTTTAATATGTATGTGTGCGGAAAGTAGTGTTGGACGGACAGGACCAAGGGAAAACACTACGTTTTAGCTTTGGCACCTCCGGTCTCTCATGCATGAAAACGTAAAATAACAAAGTCAACCACCTTGTGTAGAGCAGAAGAGATGCCACAAATTTACAGCTTGATCAGATAGCTAAATTCATTTGATTGATCACATACTGTGGTTTTATATACAGACATAAAAGATAGAACGACCTTACACAGAACCACATGAAAGTAGTCCTCAGTAACCTTCAATTATATGGTCATACTCTAGGGTTTAACACTTTACAACCTTACATCAGTATACAGATTCTCCATACTGGTCTCTGTACCTTTCCTAAAATGTTGACAAGGAGAATTTGCTTATCAATCAAGACTTTCTGTAGTTTTTGATCATTTCCTTTATTCTCCTGACCTTAATGTGTGATTCAGGGGTGATATTGTAAGGAGAAATTAGATGCTAGTTACTCTTAGGGGGTTCAAGGGTTTAATCCATTGACTGTAAATTTTGAACCACCTTGTATAGCATTGTAAATAGTATTATAATGCTGCTAAGCAGCCTCCATTTGAGTTATCAGTTGCAAGGGTCTCCCTTGCAGACTTAAAGTTTAGGTATGCACACTAAACAGTATCACTTCTAGGTACTGTATTGTATATTTATCACAGGATCACAGGTCCACATCGGCTTAATGCTGCCAGTAACTGACCTGCATTACCAAATAAACTATGCATGTATGTATGTATGTATGCATGCATGCATGTATGCATGCATGTACGTGTGCATGTATGCATGTGTGCATGCATGCGTGCATGCATGCATACATGCATGTATGTATGTATGTTTTCAGTTTTATATTTTAATGCACATGCGCTAAAAATCAGAATAGATTCAATGTTTCTGTTCGTCTGTTCAGTATCGTATCACAAATGAAGAAAAATGAGGTAAAAAAAAACCTGGCCCACAACGCGCAGTTCAAGGTGATTTCGGCCATATGTCTCTCCTGCATTAGATCATAAATAAGGACCAATTATGGGCATGATTTAGCTAATCGTATGAATAGAACCTCCACCCTGTCAGACCTAAATCCTGATTGCATCCCACCTCTCATCATAATATTTTATATGTCCTCGCGTTAATGGTGATGCAGAAATTTAATAAACAGTTTTAACTTTTTGGTAGACTTATCAGTTGTCGTTATTTCTTGACAGCTCAGTATTGTAGCCCGACAAAAAGGTTGAAAATTATCACATTATCACACAAAATCTGGCGATTCATTGGACCTTCTCTATCCTGGGGAAATGAGTGCTGAGGTGAGCCAACAGTGCGGAATTTTTTCTTATGTTCAGAGGATTCTCTCTCTTTGAGTGTTTCCTCGTTTCTTCATCCCAAACCGGACAATGGCAAAAATATTACCTGAACACTCCACTTTCGTGATAGCAAAATCGTAATTCATATCCTTAACCAAGAAGACTTGCTTCCCCCCTCCCTTTCACTTGAGAAATATCTCAACTGATTTCAAGGACTGCGCAGCGCGTCCCGGCAATCGGTCAGAGGACACAGGCGAGAAATCAGGTACACGAAGCGCCTGTCTGCTTTCTTTGGTGAGGCGGGTCGCATATTTACCATATTCGGTTCATACTTGACAAGCATTTCACATGCAGTTGGGACCAGTGGTAACTAAAGCATTTCTGTGTTAAAATACAGTAAATTTCAAATATGGGTTTGTTAGATTGATGGATTGATCGACTGTTTTTTTTTCTCTTAGGAGATTTTTGAAGCCGAACAGTCTGCCAACACGGCTCTAACATGGGTTTTTAGGGGGGTAGGCTGGGTCATGATGTTCGTTGGATTTCAGATGATGACCAGTATTCTTGTTGCTTTGAGTAAGTGATCACCTCTTCCATTTACTATTTAGATAACCGATCGAAAAAGTTTACCTTACATGACTTTAACCAAGAACGCTTTCTCCTATTCTTTTCCAGTCTGCTGGTTACCTGTTTTCCGCGAACTTATGACCCACCGACAGCTGGTTACTGTTGGTAACCAGCTGTCGGTGGGTCATAAATTGAAATGATCGTAAACATTTCCTTATCTGTTGCTTCTACAACTACACGAAAAGGGGAAAATTCATTTTAAAAAGATACTTTGCACGGCTTTTTCCCACTTTTTGGCGTTGGCTAGCGCAACATGCCCAAATTGGTTCGATTTCATTTATCGGCCATATTTAAAAGTGTTTTAGAGTCATGCCAAAACATGTCTTTAAAAAGCTATATTGAACATATTAATGTCATAATGTTCTTTAAATCCATATTTTTATTCTACGATCCGTGATCCGTAATCCATTCATGATCCTGTCCGTGATCCGGTCCGAGTTGTGTCGAAGCCGAAACAGATGTTCTCTGTATGACACCATTATCACAAATGAATTCAATGGTAGTTTTTAGTTTGCGCATTTTAAGGAAGAGATAAGGAGCAAAGGAGATTTTAAGATAAACTGGCGTCAACAAAAGGTAATGGTTACCACACATGAAATGCGTTTACAATTAGCTATAGCAGTAAGTTGAAATCTACTTACAATTAACTCAAAACCGTTTAGGAGGGAAAAACTGTTTCAATAAAATGCTTTCAGTTGAGGCTCACTTAATGCTATACCAGGTGGTTGCAAGCCCACAATGTTCCTGTTGCCTTATTGGCCTGCTTTGAAGTAAAATGATAAAAGTCTAAGGGAAATGCTTATTGGATTCTGAAATATATGCTTTTTATGCAAATACTCGTCAGCTTCATCCTCTTTCAAATTGCTGTTGCTGTCACAGAAGTTTTATTTTTAGCGACTCTCCAATTTTCTTGGAAAGAATCGTTTGGCAGAGGTCGACAGAGAGAAACACTAAGAAAGGTATTATTATTAATAATGTTTCTTGCTCTGGTATCGTTTGGATCAATGAAACATGCTTTATCCTTGTATGATTCAGTAGTTAAATTGTTGACAATTTGCTGTGTGATTCAGTGATCTTCGCTGATGATCATCATCCATTTTGTTTCGATTCTGGGTTGTTCTTTTTCCATTGTAAGTAATCAACTACCTCTGTAAATAAAACATCGATTTATAAAAAAAAAAAAAAAAGTTGGCTATGCAGTGCTGACGAGCTCTACTAAGAGCGAAACAGCTGTCCGCTGCTGCCGCTTCCAAGGAACCAATGCTGCGCATGCGTAGCTCCTTCGAAAATAAGGGTATAAATGGTTTAAATCATGCAACTTACTGAGAGTAGATTGCATGTTTTCGAGAACAGCTAGACAAAATAAAAACAAGTTTGACCTTAAATTACTTTCGACGCCCGAATAAAAATCACCCTTAACCTGTAGAACTGTTTTTCGTTGTTTAGACCCCCACGGCCTTTAGGTCACATACATATGTATCTTATTAACCAAGCGCGAGGGCCGTACTGGGAGAATATCGGCCCGAAGTCTTGACAGTAAGGACCGAGCTGCGCTCGGTCCGTACAAAAAAGACCGAGGGCCGATATTCTTCCAGTACGGTCCCGAGCAAGCTTGGTTAATAAGAGATTTATTATACGACTGAAGTTCAAAGTGACACAAGTGCGGTATCATTCGGGACCATTCGGGACAGTGCCCTGTCCAATACTGAGAGAATATTGACCTGCAATAGAGCATTTTGATTGGTTGATTTTAGTTATTGGCCCTCTGACTGCCCGAGTCGTGTAATAAATATATCTTATTAACCAAG